TGGGGGGTCTGCGCACAGGGGTATGGGGCCGAGCATGGACTTAGGGGTCTGAGCATGTGGATATGGGTTCATACACAGTGGGGTGTGGGGGGGTCCCTGCATGGGGTGGGGGTCACTGCACGGGGCAGGGGGGAGCAGCACCCAGAGTTGGTGGCTGGGCTCTGTCCAGGGACCCCCGACCCCTGCCCAAGGTGGGGGTGGTCGYACCGGGGGGAGGGGGCGCTGAAGACAGAACCGGGGGGCCCCTGTCCCCCACCGGGCACCGTTCCGGGAAGGGCGTCCCCACCGGGAGGGTCGGCGGGATCTGGAGTGACTCAGGCGTGAATCAGCCCCCCCGGCCGCGCCGCGTGAGTAACCGGCGGCGCCGACCCCGCACGTGCCCGTGCACGGGCCGGCCCCGGGCGGCTGCGCCCTCGCGCCCCCGCGGCGCCTCCCTGCGCGTCCCTGCGTGTCCCCGCGTGTCCCTGCGCGCGGGCGCCCCGCCACGCGCCCTGCACATGCAAGGGCTCCTTTGCACACACGGCTTTTGCACGCATGGCTTTGCGCACGCACGGCTTTGCGCACGCGGCTTTTGCACGCACGACCTTGCACGCACAGCTTTGCACGCGGCTTTTGCACGCGCACGGGCGCCGTGTCACCGTCCGTGTGCCCGCAGCGAGGGCGAGGAGTGGCAGCGGCTGCGCAGCCTCCTGGGCCGGCACCTGCTGCGGCCCCGCGCGGCCCAGGCCTACGCGGGCGCCCTGGACGCYGTGGTGACCGACCTGCTGCGGCGCCTGCAGCGCCAGCGCGACCGCCACCCCCAGCACCTCGTCCCCGACGTGGCCACCGAGTTCTACAAGTTTGGTCTGGAAGGTGCGTTGGGGACGTCACCACTGCCCCCGTGCCAGCTCTGCACCAAACCGAGGCACCCTGGGGGCTACCGTGTTCCCAAGGCGTCCCCCATCTTCCCTAAGGATTCCCCATCCTCAGGTTCTCCCATGTCCCTCCTGTGTCCCCCCAAGGCTCCCGTGTCCCTTCAGAGGCTCCTGTGTCCCTCCAAGGGTTCCTTTGCTCTCGGATGGTCCCATGTCTCGGTGTTCCCAATGTCCCCGAGGGCCACCTGTGTCCACCCGTATCCCTGCAGGGACTCCCATGTCCTGGAGACTTGTGTTCTCCCTGGATTCTCCTGTGCCCCCCCCCAACTTCTCCCGTGTCCCCAAGATCCCATGTGCTGACGTCCTGTGTCCAACCATCCCCTCCGCCCACAGGCATCTCCTCGGTGCTCTTCGGCTCGCGCCTGGGCTGCCTGGAGCCGGAGGTGCCGCGGGACACGGAGACCTTCATCCGCTCCATCAACACCATGTTCGTGATGACGCTGCTCACCATGGCCATGCCCCGCGCGCTGCACCGCCTCTTCCCCAAGCCCTGGAGGACCTTCTGCGAGGCCTGGGACTACATGTTCGCCTTCGGTGGGGCCCCGGGGACACCGGGGAAGGGGCAGGGGGGCACACGGGCGATGCTCATGGTGGTTTGGGTGTCCCCCAGCCAAGGGCCACGTGGACCGGCGCGTGGCCGAGGCGGCCGAGCGGCTCTCGCGGGGCGACGCGGCCCCGGCTCCCTTCCTCACGGACCAGCTGGCGCGGGAGAAGGTGCCCATGAAGGTCATCTACGGCAACGTCACCGAGCTGCTGCTGGCCGGCGTGGACACGGTGAGGAGCCCCGCGTCCCCCGTGCCCTCCGCSGCGGTGGCACCGCGCGCGCCGCCCCGGCTCAGCGCCCGCTCGGCCGCCCGCAGATCTCCAGCACCCTGTCCTGGAGCCTGTACGAGCTGGCGCGGCACCCCGGGGTGCAGGCCGCGCTGCACCGTGAGATCGCGGCGGCGGCGGGCGACGGCGCCGCGGCCCCCTCGCCCGCCCAGCTCGCCCGCATGCCCCTGCTCAAGGCCGTGGTGAAGGAGACGCTCAGGTGAGCGCCGGCGCCGGGCCTGGGGCTCCAGCCTGTGCCCTGGGGGTCTCCGGCTCCTCTCCCCATAGGGCTCAAGCTTAGATCCTGGAGGGGCTCAGACTCGTGGCCCTGGGGGGCTCAGGCTGTGTCTGGGGCTCTCGTGTCCTGGTGGAGCTCCAGCTCGTGTCCCCGTTTSACACAAGTTCCTGTCCTGGTTGGACTCCAAACCTGCATCCTGGGGGACTCAAATTCACATCCTTGGGACTCTCGAACTCCAGTCCTGGTGGGGCTGGACACCCCCCCCGTCCATCCTGGTGCCCCCCCAGCCTCACGGGCTCCGGTGCCGCCCCCGCACAGGCTGTACCCCGTCATCCCTGGCAACGGCCGCGTCATCGCGGACCGCGACATCCGCGTGGGAGACTACGTGATCCCCCGCAAGGTCTGGGGGCTGCAGGGTGTGGGTGGGGGGACACCGGGATCCCCCACGAGGTGCACGGGCTGGGGGCTGCAGGGTGTGGGTGGGGGGGACACACTTGGATTCCCCGGCAAGGTATGGGGGGGACACAGGGATACCCCGCAAGGTGCACAGGTTGAGGGCTGCAGGATGCAGGTGGGAGGGGACACTGGGACCCCCCGCAAGGTATGGGGGGGACACTGGGCTCCCCCTCAAGGTGTGCGGGTTGGGGGCTGCAGGACACGGGTGGAGGGGACACCGGGATCCCCCGCAAGGTGTGCGGGTTGGGGGCTGCAGGGCGCATGCAGGGGGGACACTGGGCTCCCCCTCAAGGTGGGTGGGCTGGGGGGCTGCAGGACACGGGTGGAGGGGACACCGGGATCCCCTGCAAGGTGTGTGGGTTGGGGGCTGCAGGGTGCATGCAGGGGGGACACTGGGCTCCCTCTCAAGGTGGGTGGGCTGGGGGCTGCAGGACACGCGGGGAGGGGACGCCCCTGCGCACGGCGGCTCAGCCCCGCGCGTGCCCCCCGCGCAGACCCTCATCACGCTGTGTCACTACGCGACGTCCCGCGACGGGCGCCTCTTCCCGGCGCCGGAGGCGTTCCGGCCGGAGCGCTGGCTGCGCCGTGCGCCCGCCCGCCACCCCTTCGCCTCGCTGCCCTTCGGCGTGGGCAAGCGCAGCTGCGTGGGCCGCCGCCTCGCCGAGCTCGAGATCCACCTGGCGCTGGCGCAGGTGAGCGCGGACCCCCCCCAATGTCCCCTGTGTCCCCTTGCAGTGTCTCATCTGCCCCCCCGGCCCTTGCAGATCCTGCGGTGCTTCGAGGTGCAGCCCGAGCCCGGCGGGCGCCCGGTGCAGCCCATGACGCGGACGCTGCTGGTGCCGGCGGCCGACATCAACCTGCGCTTCCTGAGCCGCTGAGCGGCCCCCCCGACCCTGCGCTCCCCCCAGACCCTATTTATTGCTTGCATGGGGACACCCCCACCCCACAGTGGTGCCCGCCTGGATGGAGCGGCCGCCTTCCCGATGCCACGGGAACCCGCGCCTGAGGGGGGGGGGTTAAATGTTTATTTATAATAAATAAAACGTAATAAATAATAAAGAAGTTTGGATGGAGCTGGGAATGTGGCTGTTGCGGGGGGTGGCCGGGGCTCCCCCTCCCCCCGCCTCGGTGGGGGGTCGCGGTGCCGACGTCACCGACGGGGACTCTGGACCCC